CTTTAATTAGATATCGAGCGAGGGTTCTCGAAAATTGTTTGTATCGTGCGAAATCGAGCGAGAGTTTGACCAACATGTGGCGAAATATAGGATAATTGCTGTTTCCTTGCATGGAAAACGTCACGTATTTTGACATATATTTACCAGTTCCCTAAAAATATAACTATGATAGGGTGATAGCGGTTATATTATTTCGTTACTCACCTTTACACAACCTCAAGATAAACAAAATTCCCTGGTTAAGTCAGCGTCTGTTTATTCGAAGTGTTACATGTTAGTGTCAGTAAAAAACACTCTCTTTCTATTATATACTTTATTAGAATTAGCGGCTCAACGTACTCGTTATCGTTAGAAATAAACTATTTCCAAAATTTTACGGTGTGACTCATATACACCAAAACAATCTATATAATTATAGCCTTAGGCTATAAATAATGTTAGTTCGCTTCAGTTGATTGCATTTAGTAACCGATAGCTGTATTCATGCACAATCTTTACAACCACAATAACAGGAACTCCACCGACAACTTATTGTCTCGTATGGATTATCGAAAACAAAAGAGCATTACAGATGATGTCAGTGAAAAACATGCTGTCTGATTTATACTGAGATCTGAAGCGTCTTACTAGGCTCATTACTGTTTTGATCTCTGTCGGTGAGCCTGCTCTGAGAGATATTATAGAAATAGAAATAAGAACGCGATGTCTTCAAGAAACTTGACGAAGTTTTACTTTTACGCTGATAAGACACTGTTAGTGGTGTCGCGTGAGAAGTTACTGAACGCAAATAAAGTAGTCATATCTTCGCGGTCAAAGGAAGTGACGTCTAAGCGATACTGCATTAAAAGGCATGGAAAGCGACGTTGATATCTTTTGGAGGTAAAATAATACTTATTTTTGTAGATTGTATTTCGTCTTTATTTCAAAATATTGATTGTGGATTTTAATGTTTCTGGATTTTAATGTTGTCCTTAAAGATCAGTCAAAAATTGACTCTGTATTGTTAATTTCAGTTTACCCCGTGTTTTCGCACGGACTTGCGAAGCAACGTTACCAGTAGTTGCAGATTATTTACGTATGCGAAAAATTTTACACGCAGTATAGCGCTGCGAGAATTCTCGTGAATGTTTGCATCAAGATTTCTCGCAAAATTCTTGTGTATCGAGTAACGCGAAGCGCGTTTCGAGAAGCCTATCGAGCGAGCGAGAATTTTTATCGAGTGGGTTTCGAGATCTCGATACTCGAAACATTTTCTTCGATAGCATCGAGCGAGAATGGTTAACTTTCATTAGGGCTGTACTGTACACAAAAACACTAGAGAAACGTTTTTTATTTATTTTCTAGTACTAGTATAACTTAATAAATATTCTTATATAGACCATTTGCGAAACTTAGTGACCGCGCCTTAAACTGCACTACAAATCATTCTGCTATATTTTTATATGGCGAAAAATGAATTTCAGTGTTTGAGACGCGTTTTTATGGTAATTTTTTCATTTTTTCAATATTGTTGTTCTGACTATGTAAATCTTTATTAAACTTGTTCATAGATTTAGTCTTACTTCAAAATTCATTGTTTTTTTCGCCGTTCGATAAAAGAAGCAGATTAAACCAAAGAAAGAATCAGGTATTTTCCGTCTGTTTTATTGATACATTTCAACGAATAAGTTGTAACATTGATTAATTTTGGTTCAGTTGTAATATAATAGCCAGTTTTCGATTTTAACGTTAAAAATATGAAAGTAAATGTTGGGCAAAATTTGTAAAAATTTTATGTTATTATCCTTTGACAAAATCTTTTTTTCTCGCACGAAGTCTAAAAAAATCTGGGTAGAAAGAGTTATATTTTAGTTTGTTAAGTTATACGGGGTATATTATTTGCATCTTGATCAGATTTAAAAGTCTAGATTGATCTTTTCCATATGTTTGTTCATCACATGCTAAAACAACAACGAAATATCTCTCCAAAGCGGGTAAAAATATAGTGGGAAATCGATGTTTAGATAAATTTAACAAATATTTATATAACCTAGCACGAAATATTAAGAAAATTGAAAGAGATTCGAGAAAAAAACACTTTAAAAACCCTAAAATTCACTTTTCGCTATATAAAAATATAGAAATTGTTTTGTTCTTGCATAATAAGCCTCGTTCTCGTGCAGTATGAAGGCGCGGCCGCTAAGTTTCGCAATTAGTCTATATAGCCAGTTTTTTCGATGTATTTACAAGTTCTGAACATCTCGTGAAATCCGCTCAACATGTTGAGCGGACTTCATGAATAATAAAAAATTACCCGGTAAACTCCAGCTTGCCTGCGTGGAATAGCTCCAGTGCTATCCTGGCCCCCCCCCCCCATTTTTTAACAAGCTGCGCTGTTCCTACACCAAAAACGTATATTCGAGCGTGTAAATCGTGGAATGTTGGATATGTCAGTAAATGTACGTAAACGTCGCTGTTTCTTATATCCGAGCAGGCTACCTGACTTTAATTAATAATATTTTTTGCAAAACAGAGAAAAGTGATCTTCCAATAGGCCGTATGACTATATAGCTAAAATAAGTAAGAAACTATGTTTGCATATATAAACAATATATAAAACAGATGATAAATTAAGAAACTATGTTACAAATAATTAGGAAAAAACACCATCTATTCCATGCACCTATTTCTGATTTCATGTAATGTACTCGCTCTGGAGTGATCTGGCCTAAAGCAATCGTTATAATGGCCCGTAGTTATTCAGGTCGCTATTCGGACTATTTTTATGGGTCCAGGACCCTTGACTCGAGTGGCTAATAGATAAGCTCATATCCTAACAGAGAATGTGTAATTGTTCTTTTTCAATATATTAATAATTTATAAACAACGAATTTATAACTGAAAGTAGCAATATCTAGTTTTCATAACGTAAGAAATAACATATGCTCAACAACTATAAACTTAGTATATTTTGTCAGGTGGTATATACGGTGCATCTAAACTATTCAATAATCTAAGTTTTTATTTAAACGTGTCATATATTTTAATTTATTTGCATATCTCAGCCTGCACCTGAGCCTGTCATACCACGTCATATTTATTTGCCCCCGGCTGGTCGCCATCTTGCTGCGCGCTTGATTTTAGTTATCACCATGTAACGAACTATATCATTTAAACACGTGCATATCGTATATATTATATTAGATTTGTCTTATCAATGCTCATGCAGTGTTTTGCCAAGTCGATTTCTATAAATTCTGTAAAATTTTAATAAGACCTGCATATGTTCACTTGCCCCATTAATATATTCCAACCCTGCATGCACCAGATTATGGTAGCAAATGTGGTCATTGTGTTTTCAAAGGTTGATTCCAAATGAGGGAAGTGGGTACCAGGATCGTTTTACTGGAAAATATTAAAAATTATTTTAGGATAGAAATGATTATATAAATTATTTCACTATTTAAGACAGAAATGGCAATTAAGCTATTAAGCGGAATACCCGGTAAATGTAACAATAATCGTCTCCATGCATATTCAAATCTTCAAATTATGCTCTGTGGTTTATAAATGGTTATGTTGTAAATGTAAAAGTTAAAAATATATGAGTTGAACACGCGGAAGTCGAAAATACAAAAGGATTAAAATGCAAATATGAAAATGCAAAAGCTAACTGACTGGCCGACCGAACCGGCGAACAAATTAATCAATAATGGCTGCATGGTAGACATCCGGATGGTCGGACTGAGAAACTGTTTACCCTACCGAATCTAGATGGAATATCGGACTAATAGCCATGCAAGAACACCGGGAAGAGGAATGCGCATGCAAAGGAGGCAAAATTTCCTCTGAATTCCAGGGAGAGGGGCTCCCAAGGAAATAATAACTAAAGCAAAATATTACATACAAGTTAGAACTGTCAACTAATCTCACGGAATGGTAATTCCTGCATCATAATACTCGAATCCTACTTACTTATCTAACGTACTAAAAGATGGAAATTATTTACTGATATTTAATTTTTAGTAAATCAGAAAAGCAGCTTTATTGGCCAATTCGAGCATTTTTTGGTTTCCATTCGTTTGTTGTTACAGAACTCATGACAATTGTGCATTTAGTAAGTTACACTCAGATTTGGTTTATTTTCATATATATTATTACTCTAAAATCCTCTAATACTTGTTGAACAATACGAACGCAAAATTACGAAAATATGAAATGTTGTCAAAAGCACATGATTTTACACGCCCGAAGCACACGAAGCGCCCACGATTACGTCATCCAGAACATACTCCCGCCTTTGTAGACGGGCTATAATCTACTTAATCCCAGAGCCAACGGCGCGGAGCGCCGTTTCGGGCGTAAACGCCGTTTCCATTAACGTTCGCTTTGCCCACGCGGTTCATTGTTTTTGACGCCTGTCACACCCGCGTGAGCAGGTATTCTAAGCCCGCTCAGCCCGCCCAGGCAAAGCGACTGCAATGGAAACCGGTCTTAAGCCCGAGGCGAGGGTACTAATTCCACTAATTTGCATACTTATTAACATTATGTTTTAAAGTAGAGTTCAAAATGAATGGATTAAACGTAAGTCCGAAAACGACTCTCCTAAATCGTAACACTTGAATATGGGGAGCTGCACTCAATGGGTCATTAATCCATAGAAATCTAAGGTAATCACGATGTTCCGGCGTCGAAATAGCGATGTTTAGGAACGCTTATTCTGTATCTGCTGTCACAGCAACTGGATGCACGCGAAATTGATTAAGGATATTGAATATCAATGGTTACAGGAGACCCGTATAAAGGCAGTCATTTAATCTCGGTCCGTTATTCCTTGCAGATGCGTCATAAGCGAGTGTAAGTTTGGTCGCATCTTTGTCTTTTTCACAACTCAGTATTGTTACTTACGTTGAAGCGTATAGCTGCTTTGGGTGGCGGAACGTAAGCATTCTTCGAGCTCCGTTGTTGAGATTAATAATATAAGTAATTCTAAACAATTACAAGCCGAAAACCAAAATATAATGAAGCTAAGCCAAATGTTGACTAAAAGCGAGGAGAATTTTCTCTGGAGTGGAAGTAATATCCAACTTAAACGGTTTGTCGACGAAGCGTTGCTTCTCAGTGGTAAATGGACATCGCCGGTTGGAGATACTAAGCAATTTACCAACGAAAGTGTCATCATAAAGTGGCATGGACCAAGCTCAAAAAAGCTATCAGTTATTAAAGATGATAATTCCTCGGTCGTTGATGCCTTATCAGATTTAATAGTAAAGAAATTGGCCGTAAATTCTTCAAACACTGATGACCACGTGGACACAACAACAACAACCTCGAAGCCAAATGAAACATGCAATACGTGTGATTCTAGAGATGCGGAAATTGCGAGTTTAAAAGAAAAAATTATCGAGATGAACAAAGTTATCGTTCGATTGGCAAACAGGCAAAATGAAAGCGAATGTCAAACGGAGAAACACTTAAACGAATCGAAAAAAGCCATAACCGAGTTATCTAGAACAAACAACAAAATGGCGGACGAGATCGACGAACTTAAATGTGTCATTGAGCAGATTTCTGTTGACAATGATCGACTGCAAAATGTCTTGGATATGAAGCAAAATGATTGGATTGAAATTGAAAAGCAAAAAAAATCGAACGTCATCAAACCAATATCTTCAGCATCGAAACTAAACTATGCAGCTGCTGTTTCAAATAGCTTTGAAATCCTTGAGGATGAAACCTTATCAAACGAATCGTCAAATGATATCTCAATTCAAGACAGCGCAGAATCTATTAACAATATGACGATAAACACTGGAACACAGCCAGATACTCATCCAAACCAGAACACTAGAACCAAGCAAGATGAAGGCAAGAAAGATCAAAACATCAGCACATCAGCACAGAGAAGTCAAGATCAACAAGATACCTTGTTAATTGGAGACTCGATGACCAAAAACATAAACAATGATAAACTTTCATATGCTGCAAAAGCAAAAACTGTTTGCAAGACGTACCGAGGTGGCAAGATAAAGGATATTCACACAAATCTACGAAAGGACTGTGGTGAAAGAAGATTACGCAGTATCATTCTTCATGTGGGTACCAACAACCTGGTACCTGATGATGCAAAGGAGGCAGCTAAGCAGATGGAGGATCTTATTGTTGAAGCTAAATCTAAAGCTGAGAATGTCGCAGTCTCAAGCGTCATAAA